TGTGGCCATCTGCTACCCACTCAGCTACACAACCCTGCTGACAACAAAGACTGTGGTCAGGTTCGGAACAGCCATCCTTATCCGAGCCTTTGTAAGCATCTTGCCCTTCCCTTTCCTTGTGCTGAGGCTGCCATTTTGTCACTCCCAACATATCTCTCATACTTATTGTGAGCATATGGCTCTAGTAAAACTAGCGTGTGGGAACACTACACCCAACAATCTCTATGGGCTGACTGTGTCGCTTCTCATTGTTGGTGGAGACCTGACCTTTATCTTCATCTCCTACGGACTGATCTTACAAGCTGTATTCCATCTGCCTTCAGTGGAGGCTCGTCACAAAGCCCTGGGCACTTGTGGGGCCCACGTAGCTGTCATCATCATTCTGTACACACCTGGCCTCTTCTCCTTCCTCACCCATCGCTTCGGGCATAACATCCCCCACAGTGTTCACATCTTCCTGGCCAACATCTACTTGATGGTCCCCTCCATGCTCAACCCTATTGTCTATGGCATCAAAACAAAGGAGATCCGTGAGCGGCTGCAATGGACTTTTCATCTTGGAAAAAGCCCCTCCAGACCTAATAACTGGGGTTAGACCTGCTCTTGGGAGTAAATTTGATGGCCCTGAGAAAAACGTCCTCCTCCAGTACAAAGCAGTTTCAACAGTGAGCAGTTTGGCACGGAGAAATGCTTATCTTTTATGTCACATCAGTTGTCCTCTGCAACTCTGCCCCCACTGAGTTTCCTTTGAAGGACCTCAGGCGTGTGTTTGTCTTTGTAAGAATCACTGGGAAAGCCCCTGTGGAAAGAAAAGGCCTTGAGAGGGAAAAGGGCCATGCACACAAATACACTCAAGGCTGGAGTGTGAGTGGTCGATCCCTCCAGCTCCCTCGAGCTGGCATCGCTAAGCCCATCCACGTACGATCCCTACTGCATGCTCCTGAGGAGAACATTTTCACTATGGCACCATCAGCCACTCTTCCTCAGAGAAATCCTCTGTTGTGCATTTTGAGTTGGGTGGGCTATAAAAACCGTTAAATAAATACAAGCAATCATCAGCATTTAGCTCCAATATGCCCTAATTTGCCACATTTTTTTCTGGATCTCTCATCCCATTTTCTAGGAGACTAGAGACTTGTTTACCTGGAAACAGGTAAAATGGTCCTCCCCTTCCTCTTTGTAAAAGCCCACCTGAAAGGGGAAGCTTCATTCTCCTGAATGCATCTTTTGCATTTGATGTCTTTACAGGTCTTCATTCTCTTTGCCCATTGCCTAGGTTGACAGTTGAGATCTGAATGTCACGTTTGATTTAGGTATCTTTCACTCTTTCAGCCTGAAACTTTTAAAGTAAGCTTTCACCCTGTTAGATCTGCAATGTTCAAATCCCAATGAAGAAAAATCTCTTGAAACCCGAGTCAAGTTCAAAAAGAAACTCATTTATTGAGACGTACATGCAGCTTCAAAGCATTGCTGAAACTAAAGGCCCGTGCATTCCCAGTCTACTTTTACCCTCACTTTTTAACCTCCCTTCTCCTCAGCCAGTTCTTGGTTCTCATGTTGGTACGACCTTGGACATTCCTGGTGCTAGGTAACAGTCCATCTGTGTTAATGGTTTCACCTTCCTTGTTCCCCCCTCCTCTCTACTGAAATTTGGCAGGAATGAAGCAAGCAACTAATGAGCTGATAGATTGATTGCTGGAAGTTCTGACATGCCGCCACTCAAAAGAAAAAAATCTTCAAAGTTGGTTCTCAAAGACCTGCAATGAAATGGATAAAGACAATAGAACAGAAATATATACATGCATTTTGTTGTTTAGTCGTTAAGTCGTGTCCGACTCTTCGTGACCCCATGAACCATA